CACAAACCTCACACGAACAGAAACAGGATGAGACTAATATAAACGGATTTTCTAGATTCTCATCTTTGGCTCAGATTTGTAATCCATATTAAAGGAGTTATGAATTTAAAGAAGTATTCAGCTGCCGGTACATGGAATACCATTTACTTCAAGGCCTGTGATAACTTCCTACCTTTCTTGGTTTTTAATTCCAAGATGTTCGCAGAACATCTGAATAATGAGCTTAAGAATCCAAAGTGGAACAGCCAAGAAACACATAGAAAAAAAATAATATTAAACATTCTTATGAATTTATTCTTAGTATATTATTATAAAAGTGGTAAACTCTTGTTTAAGGTATATGATCTTAACTCCAGTGCCATATCTCATTGCATATCTGCAACTGCACTTCTTTCATACACAGCACATCAGATTTTGTATTCCTTCTTTCAGGAAAATGAAACTTCAACTAGAAGCTCAAAATATTAAAAAGGCTGTCCACACATATAAATAAGCATCTAACAAGTCGATTAACATATCAAATGAGAAGATAAAAGATTCATACCCTAAGCCTGTGATCCCCACCGACAATCTTTACACCAAAGATGTGCTCCTCATCATTTAGAAGCTCTAACCTTTCCTTGCTTGTGGTAGCTGGGAGTCCGGACTTAACATTCACTTCTCTGACACTCCCGATTTCAAGGTCCCCTTGCACGATGCACCTGCTAACAAACGGTTTGTACCTTTGTGGCTGATCAAACCTCCTCACTAATGACCAAACCTATCAAATATACCAAAATCCAGTAAAAAACGTATGCACTACATCCACTATCCATGTTCAAGTAGAATACATGTAAACCGTAGAAACCCAGAACAGTCAAGCATTCTTCGATCTTATCCAGTTATCGGTTGACAAGACTGGACAATTGCGATTAAGAACATCAATAAAATTAGGCAATGAAATAATTAAACATCTTGAAATCTTTCAACCTCAATGCATTTTCTACCTGATAAACAGCCTAAAATACGTTATGTCCAAAAAGAAGTTCAAAAGCATATAATTTTCAAAAATCAGGGATAACGGGGTTCAAAAGCATATTATTTTATCTCTAAAACTAGCTTCTTCAACAGATAAAGATAAAGCTGCCCTCTTTTCTAGCAACCATAACCAAAGCCCCCCACCCACCACCCACCCCCACCCCCACTCCAACCAACACACACACACACACACACACAAAACAAAAAAAAAAAAAAACCTTTTCCCTAATCCACAGTTATCTGTGAAAACTGAAATCTAACTATACAAATTTGAGTATATCAATTCCAGCAATAAAGTTCCTTATCTTATTATTTGTCTACCATATTAAGCTAAATCCAAATGAAAATACAATTGTAAACAACACCAAGTAGAAGAAAAGCTTCAAAAATAGCCAATACTAAAACAACTGTGTCTCAATTCCAAACATAAGTATGAATCATTTATAAAGCAAAAACAAATCATCAGAGCCTCAATAACAGGTCAATCACATATAGATCTGAGCAAAGAAAAGCTTAAATAAACATAAAATTCAAATCTTTATTCAAGAAACTAAATTGGGATGACTTACAAGATGAACAGGAGCTCTAATATGTTTTACAAGTGAAGAGCTACACTGATTATCTCTAACATCATGTCTATGATGTCTTCTAATGTAATCATCTTCACTACTAATCTTAACGTTCATTATACTGACCATCGCCGCAAGCAAAAACTAACGGCACCGACAACCTTAGTCTAAAAGCAGAAGGTGAAAACGTGGGAAAGTGTGAAAAAATCAGAAGGGTCCAAAAAACAATGCCATTCGTACCTCAAATGTGTGTAAATGGTCCAAATTTGATAGTGTTTTGTTTTTTAATTTCTTATCCGCATCTGAAAGCTCCATTTTTTATTGATTAAGAATAAGATAATTTTGCAAGTGGGCTTGGTGGGGTAGGTACTCTTCTCTAATTTAATATTGGTCTACATTCGGAAACCTACTTTTTGACAATATAGTAGAAGAATGGAAAAAATAAATTAATATTCCATCCGGTCCAAAATAAGTGATTTTTTGGATGTTTTCACACATATTAAGAAATTCACCTTTTAGTATTAATTAGCAATGGAATTGACCATATTAACTTTTAGTATCTCACATAAACACTCCTAACACATTCCAACACTATTTACTCCAAGGACAATGTAGGAAAAAAATAATTAATTCATTCTTGAAATCTGGAAAAATCACTTATTTTGGACCACAAGAAAAAGGTCAAAAAATCACTTATTTTGAACCGGAGGGAGTAGTAAAACGGTTAGACGAGTGGTTTCCTACATAGGAGAATAAGTGACTGATTTTCCTCACTAGCGGACTCCTCAGTTAGAGCTCGTCGCACCGGGCGTACCTAGTGCGGTTCACATCTCCTATGTAGTTTGCGAGTGAGCAAGTTACTCAATGCGTTGAAGGGTAGCCAGAGGCGGATCCAGAATTTCAAAAGGATGGGTGCTCTATTATGAAGAGGTGAATCTAGAAACTACACTTGACGAATTTAACTTTAGTCTCTTACTATGAACCCACTACACTTTTGAAATTATAGGTTCAAAATTATATTCTTTTTGAAATTTTAGTAATTTTCACATATATATCTATACTATGTGCCGAAATCAAGACCATTCAGAGTGTGATTTGAACTGCAAATTTCACTTATAGAGGTGCACCCAATAATAATTGCACCATAGAGTCTTTGAGCATGAGTTCAGACTTCAGACACATATATTTAAGTAATTTTGAAAAAATATAATATTTTTAGAAAGAATTACGTCCAATATCACTTGGCCCAACAACTTAACTGAAAATGGCTCAGGTTTGAAGTCCTTACACTGTTTGGCCCGGGTTGTACATAATATGAAAGAATCTTTTCATCATTTAGCCCATTATTAGATACTCCGTTCCTCCACAGTCCATAACACACATAAGCTTCTTAATATCTCTCTTTTATGTGTATTCTGCCTTATCATATAAGCGCACTTCAACTCCAACAGCGAAGCTGATCTTTGAACAAGATTTGAAGTTGTTCAGTTACAAATTTGCCTCATCCTTGTTACTAGGTTTAGCATTCTCTTCGTTTAAGTGTATATAATCATAAAACCTCCATTATCGGAGCTCAAGTTTCTCAAATTTAAATTTTGATTGATTAATGTGACGACCCGACCCGTCGTCTCATGTGTTACCGCCCCGTTTTCCCCGTTTATTGCTTCTTCATGTTTCATTATCGGCATTTGGTGAGTTAGAGTCGAATTGGTTTGGTTTTGGTGGAAAATGAGACATTTAGTCTCTTTAAGGAAGGCTTATATTGGAAAAGTCAACCGGATATTGACTATTGAGTTAGAGGGCTCGGATGTGAATTCCGGTGATTCGGTTAGCTTCGGGGGATGATTTGTGACGCAGGAGTGCGATCGGAATTGATTTTGGAGGTCCGGTGTAGAATTAGGCTTGAATTGGCGAAGTTAGTATTTTGGCGAATTTCGGTTGGCAGGTGAGATTTTGATCTGGAGGTCGGAATGAGATTCCGGGAGTTGTAGTAGTTCCGTTAGGTGATTTTGGATGTGTGTGCAATATTTCAGGTCATTCGGAGGTGTTTTGGTCGGGTTTTTGATCAAATGCGTATTTCGGAAGTTTTGAAGAAACTTAGGCTTGAATCCGATGTGATTTAATGGTTTTAGCGTTGTTTGATGTGTTTTGAAGATTGGAAAAAGTTTGAATAATGTTTTAGGATGTGTTGGCGCTTTTGGTTGAGGTCCCGGGGGCCTCGGGGTGATTTCGGGTGGTCAATCGGACCAATTTTGGACTTTAAAAGTAGCAGATTTTCAGTTGTTGGTGTTGCAGAGATTTGCCCTTCGCGTTCGCGTGGGTGATGTCGCGAACGCGTAGAGGAAATGCGAGGGCTTGGGAATTTGGTCTTCGCGTTCGCGTGGAAGAGGGCTGCGTTCGCGAAGTTCTGGAAGGCAAAGCATCGTGTTCCCGTTGGTGGTAACGCGTTCGCGTAGAAGGGAATCAAGGCCTTGTGAAATTGTTCAATGCGTTCGTCATAGGGCACGCGTTCGCGTAGTTAAAGTTTTTGATGCATCGCGTTCGCGGCTTGGGCACCGCGTTCGCGTAGGGTTAATTCCTGGTCAATATTTTCTGGTCATCACGAACGCGGGGGTGTTGACCGCGTTCGCGTAAGGTAAATTGCACCTGGACAGAAGGGTTTTTAAATCATATCATCCGCGAAGCTTGGTCCATTTCCTCCATTGTTGAGTATTTTGAGAGCTCTTTGGGACAAATTGAAGAGGGATTCAAGGAGGATTGATTGGAGGTAAGTTCCTTAGCCTAAATACACGAGATTATGATAAATTTAACATGGAAATTGGTTGAAATTCATTAAAAGGGGGTAAAGCTAGGGCTTGAGAATTGATAATTTAAAAATGGAATTTGAAGGGTCAAATGGACTCCAATTTTGGTAAATTTGATATGTATAGACTCGTGGCGAGACGAGGAATCCGGTGATGTGAATTTTGTAATTTTTCGAGAAGTGGGCCCGGGGCTCGAGTTTTGCCAACTTCGTGATTTTTGATAATTTTCGAGCCTTTTCGAGTGGGTTATGTTCCCTTAGCCTATTGTAACGTATTCCTTGTGGTTTTGATCAGATTCGACGCGCGAGGAGGTCGATTCGAGGGGAAAAGGCTTAGCGAGCTAGACTTTTGGCCGGCTAGAGGTGAGTAATGATTTTAAATGATGTCCTGAGGGTTTGAGACCCCGGATTTGCACAACTTGGTGCTATGTTGAGATGAGACACGCGTTCAATGATGAGCGCGGGGTCATTTACTATTGGGGATTGTGACTTGGTCCGTCCCGGTTGTTGATTTTACCGCGTATCTCATTATGACTTGTTGTTTTTTTCACTATGACTGAGCTTATTGCTATACTTGGGCTTATTGCTGACTGTTTGAGCTCCTTGTGAGCTATCATCACTGTTTTCCTCACTATTTGAAATACTATTTGAACTCAGTCCATTTGAATTACACTGTTTCATGAACTCAGCTATGTTTTTACTCAACCTTGAGTTTTCAACTGATATTTGAACTATTATTTCAGCTGAGCGTTGTTTTTACTGATGCCCGAGGGGCTATGACTATTTTTGGACTGATTGAGGCCGAGGGCCATATGTGAGGATATGTGAGGAGGCTTTCAGGCCCCGTTCTCTCCCTTATCTTCTGCATTTACATTATCTTCGGACTTGTTCCTAGTTCCAGACTTGTAGTATTTAGTGAACTCTGTAGTAGCTCATGACTTGTGACACCCCGATGACGGGCTGAGTTGGGATGGTTCTCTGTTTTACTTCGTTTTATTCCGCACTTATGAGTACATTATCTATGTTTTAAACTTATTCATGCTAATTAACTGTTAAAATGAGGTGCTATTGTTCTGTTGGCTGGCCTTGTCTTCACGAGAGGCGCCATCACGACCGGGTAGGGAATTGGGTCGTGACAAGTTGGTATCAGAGCCTAGGTTACTAGGTCTCACGAGTCATGAGTAGGTTTAGTAGAGTCTCGCGGATCGGTACGGAGACGTTTGTATTTATCCTCGAGAGGGTGCAGAACCCTTAGGAAAACTTCACATTCTTGAAATTCTTGTCGTGCGACTTTGTTGATCCGAGAACTAAACTTCTGTGTTCTATTCTCTCGTAGATGGCGAGGACCCGCGCTACAGGACGAGACGGATGACCACCAGTACCACCTACTGAGGGCACTAGAGGCCGTGGACGCGGTCGTGGTAGAGGCAGAGCCGCGAGGGCAGCACTTGTTGCTCCACCAGTTGCCCCGGGTCAAGATCACGCTCCAACTGATGACATTCCAGTAGCACCTGTTCAGGCACCGGCGGTGCCCATTGTGATTCCGGGTCTCCAGGAGACCTTGGCTCAGATACTATCAGTTTGCACTGGCCTAGCCCAGGTAGTTTCAGCCACTACTACAACGGCTACTTCTCAGGACGGGGGAGGCAGTCAGACCCCCGCTGCTCGCACACCTGAGCAGGTTGTACAGGGATTGCAGACACCGGGAGCAGCCCCAGCTCTGCCGGTTGCACCAGTTCAGGACTTTGTAGTTCCAGCTATGCTAGATGATGAGCAGCGTCGTCTTGAGAGGTTTAGTAGGCTCCAGCCTCCAGTTTTCAGTGGTGCTCAGGGCGAGGATGCCCAAGGTTTTCTTGACAAGTGTCAGCGTATGCTTCGGACGGCAGGGATTTTGGAGTCGAGTGGAGTAGCATTCACCGCATTTCAGTTTACTAGGGCTGCCTTCACATGGTGGGAGTCGTATGAGCGGCGTAGGCCTGCAGGTGCAGCGCCTTTGTCATGGCAGGAGTTCTCCACTATCTTTTTGGAGAAGTGGGTACCGCAGTCTCAGAGAGAGGAGCTGCGTAGGCAGTTCGAGTGGTTTCGACAGGGAGACATAACTGTGACCCAGTATGAGGCTAGATTTTCTGAGTTGGCTCGTCATGCCTCCTGGATAGTTCCGACTGATAGAGAGAGGATCAAGAGGTTTGTGGACGGACTTAACTATCACCTTCGTGTTCTGATGACTCGAGAGAGAGTTCTGGGTATTTCCTTTGAGGATGCAGTTGATATTGCTCGTGATATTGAGACGGCTCGCCGTCAAGACAGAGAGGAGAGGGAGGCCAAGAGGCCTCGAGGTTCAGGCAGTTTCAGTGGTGCCCTGTCTAGGGGTCAGTTCCAGCAGAGCAGAGGTCGTTCCTTCAGGCCTCCTCAGTCGACCAGTTCAGAGTATCGCGGGTCATCTTCAGGTCGGGGCCATCAGGGTTATCAGCAGAGCCAGCCATCTCTTAG